ACTCACGCCAGGCGCATGTACATGTGTGCCCAAGATTCTGAGAGGAGAATGGAGGAGAAGGGATTGCGGCGTGTGGCCATCCCCCCTGGGGGCGGGTGATTTCTCACTTTCTGTCTCAATGTCTCTGTCTGTCTGGTGAGCACACGTGCCCTATAGCAAAAACCTCTCAAAAAAAAAAAAAATGTGAGTGGGTACCTCAGTGCCTGGAAATGTCCCTCCAAAGATAAAATTGTATGCAGAAAGCAGCTCCTGGGGAGAGTGTTCTGCTGTGATCTTTGAAGAAAGTTCTTGTTCATGCTTCTCTCACTGACTCAAAGTGTCAGCATCAGTCCCTGGGAGGAGCTCCCTGGCTCTGTTGCTGACTGCCCCAAACACACCCCTCTCACCCTAAGAGCTCTGTCTCTGGGGTCTCCCAGGACTGGTGGAGGGTCTGAGTTATTTGGCATAGTATCCGAGAATTTGCAGATTGATCACTATAGCAACGGAAGTTGAGGAAGGGTGGGAGGAAGGATCCATGGAATGAGCAAGAAAAGGATGAGGGACCAGGAGATGGCATAGTCATTATGTTGATGGACTTCCACAGTTGACCATGGTTCGAGTCCCGAACCAGCAGCTTAAAACTCACACCAGGTGTGAGTGCATGCGTGCCCAAAATCCCGAGAGGGAAATGGAGGAGAAGGGATTGTGATGTGGCCCTCCCCTCTAGGGGGTGATTTCTCACTTTCTGTCTCTCTGTCTCTCTCTGTCTTTCCAGTGAGTGTACGCACCCTAGAGCAAAAATCTCTCTTGAAAAAAAAAAAAGAAGAAAAGAAAAAAGATGAGCAGAGAACCCAGCGGATTCACAACAATATTAACACCTCCCAGCTCTTTTAAATGAGCCATCTTATATTTCTTGAGCACCCACTGTGTCAGGCTAGATGCAGGGCACCAAGGCCGTGGCAGAAACTGCATATATGCACTGCCACTGTTCTAGGTTTTTCTGTTATTAACAGAAAATACTTGGAACTGGGTGACTTATCAAAATAGAGATATGGGCTGGCCCCGTGGCTTAATGGTTAAGGGAGCCAAACCCCACATGGCAGACTACAATTGGAATCTCGCCCCCAGCAGCTTGAAAAACATGCTGGGCACATGTGCATGTGTGCTCCAAAACCCCACAGAATAGAGAAATGGAGGCGGGATTGTGGTGTGGCCATGCCCCATGGAGAGGTGCTTTCTCACAGGCAGCAGGTAGTATGAAGGTGAAGGCACTGAATCCCACATGACCAACTACAAAGTTCAAGTCCCGGACTTGGCAGCTTGAAAATAACATTGGGCAGCACATGTGTGTGTGTGCCCAAAATGTTGAGAGAAGAATGGAGAAGAAGGGGTTTTAATGTGGTCATCTTCCCTAGAGGGGTGATCTCTCTCCTTTCCTCTCTGGTGAATACAGACACCCTATCATATATATATATATGAGAGGAAAAGGAGAGAGGTGCTTTCTCCCTCTCTCCTTCTCTGTCCATTGTCTAGCAAATGCATGTACTCTCTATTTAAAAAAAAAAAAAAAAGATAAGGTTGGGATCAGCAGGGGGCATGGTAGTTAATGCACTGGATTCCCACATGGCCAACCACAGTTTGAATCCTGGACCCAGTAACTTGAAAATCACACTGGGCACGTGTATGTGTGTGCCCATAAAATGGAGGAGAAGGAACTGTGGCATGGCCAGCCCCCCTGGGGGGTGATTTCTTGCTTTCTGTCTCTCTGTCTCTGTCTATCTTGGTAAGTACACACACCCAATAGCAAAAATCTCTCAAAAAAAAGAAGAAAAGAATGGGGACCAGCAGGTGGCATGGTGGTTAAGGTGCTGGACACTCCCACCAGGTCCAAGACTTGGCCGACCATGGTTCAAGTCCTGGACCTGGTGGCTTGTTTTCTCACTTTCCTCTCTCTCTCTCTCTCTCTCTCTGGTCAAATTTAAAAATGAATGAATCAATCAATCAATTTAAAAAAAAATTAAAAAAGAATGTCTTGGGGAAAATAATGCACTTTCTAGCAGGTTCCAGCAGAGATATTGGGCTGATTCAGCAGCCCCTACATTCTAGGCTCTGCCTGGCCTCCCCTCACCCAAGTGTTCACAGTCCTTTCTGTCCCAAGCTCTATTGCAGTTCTCACTTCCTTTTTTTACTTTTTTGTGAAATGTATAACTTTTTTTACAATGTAAAATGTATAATAACTAAAATGAAAGTAAAATTATCATTTTCTTTTCTTTTCTTGAGAGATTTTTGCTATAGCGCATGTGCACTCTCCAGAGAGACAGAAAGACAGAAAGCAAGAAATCGCCCCCCAGAGGGTATGGCCATGCCGTAATCCCTTCTCCTCCATTCTCCTCTCGGGATCTTGGGCACGCACGCACATGTGCCCAGTGTGAGTTTAAGCCATCGGGTCCAGGACCTGAACTATAGTTGACCATGTGGGAGTCCAGTGACATAATCATCGCGCCATCTGCTGGTTCCAAAAAGCTATCATTTTCATAATGTAAAGACTGGAGCTGAAGCTGAACGAGATTCTCTTAGTCACTGGGATGTGGGATTAGAAATGATGAACATTTCTCACTTGCTACAATCAGAAATGAGCGACCTTCAACATGTGCAGTTGGAAGGAGGGAGCCTGCAGAAAAAATGATTTAGGGTTCAACAAGACAGGCGTGTGTGTGTGTGTGTTATATGGTGCATGTGCCCATCGGGGAAAAAACAGAGAAAGTGAAAATCACTTCCTGGGGGAATGACCACGCCATAATCCCTTCTCTTCCAGTCTCTTCTCAGGATTTTGGGCACGCACATGGGCCTGGTGTAATTTTCAAGCCACCAAATCTGGGACTCAAACCGAAGTTAGCCATGTGGGAGTCCAGCATCTTAACCACTCATCGCCTGCTGGCCCCAACAACAGTTTGTTTGTTTGTTTGTTTGTTTTTTATTAGAGAGATTTTGGCAATAGGGTGTGTGTACTCACTGGAGAGACAGAGAGATAGAAAGCAAGAAATCACCCCCCAAGGAGATGGCCACACCACAATCCCTTCTCCATTCTCTCAGGACTTTGGGCATGCACGCACATGCTCCCGGTGTGTTTCAAGTCACCAGGTCTGGGATTTGAACCGTGGTCTATTACGTGGGAGTCCATTACGTCACCTGCTGGTCCCCCCCAACAAGTTTTTAAAAATCTCAGCCAACATCAGGTCCAGAATAAAACCACCAAGTCAGCCAGTCCTTCTGGCCACCTGGGCCCGAGATCCCTCGAGCCTTGTGTGGACTGAGCTAGGCAAGGGGGAACTTTAGATCCTGCTCCCATGACTCAGTGAAGGGGAGGGACCGCTAAAGCCAAGGGTAGGCTTTTCCATACCTGGTCAAGGACACAGGCAAAGCTCAGGTCCCCATCTCTAATCTGGGGTCCCCACACAGTGAGTGAAAACTAACCAGTGATTTAGCTGACTCAGTCACCAGGAGCAACTACTGCAGCAAAATCAAAGGCAGCCCAACAACATGTAGGGGTTTCTGGCATCCAGGTGAACACTGAGTCCTTAGGAGGCCACCTGCCACACCTCTGCTCTTACCTGGCCAGTCTGTTGTTTATAGCTGCAGCGCCCCCTGCTGCCCAGCGCTGCCTTTTCCTCTGCTCCTCCTGGAGTGTGCACGCACGGCGAGTGGTCCAGTCCAGCAAACACCCAGGCTTGGTTACCCAGACGACTTGGGCTCAAATCATTGTTGACCGTCTATTTCTGCAAGCCCCGCTTCTTCACACGTAGCAGGTTTGACCACCGAAACCCTCCGAACACTGCTGATACCCGGGACACAGCCGCTTCTCAGGACAGAGCTGTCATTGTCTATCAACCACGTCTCAGGCACTTCCGTCAGCACTTCCATAGGACCCTCAGGACAAGACTGAGGGCAAAACAAGGGGGTAGCAGGCCCAGAGGTTCACAACCTGCCCAGGGAGTGCCAAGTGTGGATCTGCACGTTAGGGGGGGGGTCTGATCCTGAAGCCCGTGCCCCCAAAAGAACCCACGCTTTCTTCCCAAGGCCAAACACCGCATGGATTTATGCGCCGGGCTGTCTGGAGTCAAATACTGACATACAGGTCATGCAGCCTCAGGTCGCTCTGCCAGCTTTTCTGGGGCCCATTTCTCACATGTTCAATGAGAGGGGCAGAGACACAATGTCATGGGGGTTCTAGTGGGGATTCAAACTGAGAACACTCATAAAGTGCTTAGAGCACAGCGTGAGGCTCAGTGGCCACTGAAGCCGATCAACTGCCTCTTTGCCATTTCTCTAGGCTTCCTAACCTCAGTGGACACTCTTGTTTCCCCATGGACCTCAAAAGGGACAGCAGGGGGCTGGGGGTGGAGTTAGCGGCTGCTCCTCCCTTTCCAGCCCAATTTGGGACACGTCCCCTATTGCAGTGGCTGCCATCCCCCTCAGCGACCCACATTTATCACGGATCTTTAAAACCAGAGCTGCATAGGAGGGTAATTAAGTTTAATAGGAGGCACCACCGATTTAAAGCCACAGGGGGGAAGTAATTAGATTTAACAGAAGCCGGGGCTTTCTGAACCCAGACACACAGCGTGGGGGTCCCTGCTCCAGAAAGCCTCCAAGATGATGTCTTTTTGTAAAGACTTCCCTGGTGACATTTTCTGCGCGCTCCGTCATTAACGCCAGTCACCGACTGGGTATGAATGTGGCCTTTGCTCATTGAAATTCATTAGGCCTGGCATCTCCCTAGCTGCAGCTCCAGCGTTGGCCCTCCCGTCGCCTTTGCACTGGGGCCAGTACAGCAATTCCCCCAAAGCGGCCTCCCAGAGGCCTCACCCCCAGGAGTCGGGGTCGCAGGAATAACCAGAAAGAATCGGTGTTAAGCCAAAGCCCCCTAGGAAGACCCCTTCCCTCCCTGCTAGGGAATTCTCTGGGTGTGGCTTGCTTTATTTTCACTTGGCTGAGTGGCCACGATCTGCTTCCCCACCTAGACTCGGCCCGGCCGCCAGCAGCGCGCATCGCAGCTCTTCTGCCAGTCCCCATCGAAAGGAGCTCCGACCTCTGCTATGGTGCAGCTTCCTCTGTGCTCGGTGCCCAAGGGTCCAAGGGCGCTACCACACCGCTGACATAGGCACCTCAAAGACAGAGGGAGATGGGGGCCCAGCCCAGTTCTGCCTCCCGGACAGTACGTCCGGGCCTAAACTGAGAAGCCGGAGTCTATTCATCTCGCAGTTGCCAGCCCACCCAGTGCGAAAGTCGCTTCCCCAAGTACCACTTTGCCAGCTTCCAGCTCCCGAGGAGGCCGGCAAATCCAGGACTAAGGAGGCGCGCAGCGAAGAGGCGAAACTGGGGCTGAAGCGCCATCTAGTGCCCGCCGGGCTCGCAGCTTTCCCATTGTTTCTGGGCGAGCAGAGATCACGCCAGGCCCCCCGTCGGGGGGCAATTTACTGGGATAAAAGCGGCCGGGGACCGGGATCGCGAGAAGACAAAGCCTGGAGAACGTGAGAATGACCGAACTGCAGGGGGAAATTCTAATGGATGGCTTTGACATCAGGAGATATGCAGAGTTGGGGCTGTCGGGGAGGAGGGAATGAATAATGTCTTTGAAGGGGAGGGGCCCCTAAAGCCACCGAGAAGCTTTTCCGAACCGGGGGAAGGAAGCAGGCAAAGCTCAAAGTCCCCCATCCCTAATCCAGAGGTTCCTGTCTTTTGCCCCTGCTAGAGCCCGGCCCCTAACACAGACACTGGGGAAGCCCGTGGCCGGGGGAGGGGCCCCGGTTGTCTATTTTATTGCTTTATAAAATTAAGCTCCCCTAGTCAATGAATCACCGGCCACCGCGCGGTGGGGAGGAATTCCTGGGGACCCTGCGGTGAAGTGGGGACTCCTCCTCCCCCAGATCCGGACAGCCTGGGCGGGGTCACCCGGTCGGGGGCAAGGAGCCGTCACTCGCCCGCCGGGGCCCAGGGAGGGGGCTGGGGCCGGAGGCGGAGTGTGAGTGGGTGTGTGCTGGGGGCGGAGGCCTGATGCAATCCAGATAAGAAATGCTCAGTGTCTCTGCACCTATCGGCCGGGCTGCTAAGGCGCGCTATATAAAGCTGCCGGCCCAGAGCCCCGCGCCGTCGGAGCAGGAGCGCAGCGCGTGTAGACTCCGGCAATCCGCGACGCGCTCACACACGACCCCGCGCTGCGTCCCTGTCGCCGCCCAGCGTCCCTCATTGCAGCCGCCGGAAGCGAGCCGCGCA